TGTGTGTGTGTGTGTGTGTGTGTGTGTGTGTGTGTGTGTATGAGTGTGTGAGAGAGAGAGAGAGAGCGTGTTCATATTGTTTCAGTAAGCGTGTCGCGGCACTTGCAACTTATTAAGGTCACATCAGTACCGAAGATTAGAGGTTTTTCAAGAGAGTAGCAAACACAGAAAAAGAAGGAAGAGAAATAAAGAAGACAGCTGTTTGCTAAGAAAAAAGGAGCAAACCACACCAGAGCACCTTTCAACCACCCATAAAAGCGTGTTCGTTTGTGTGTTTGTTCACTGAATCTAAACCACAATAAGCAATCTCTGGACACTCAAAAAACGAAAGTACAAGAAAACGAACACATAACCTACGAACACATAATTTATACACTTACGCAAACACAGAGTACCCTCTTCCCTTTCTTCACTCCCTACTTCCCCTGTCCTCTATCTCTTGCCTCGACCATAAACGTCTATCTAGATTCCCTTTAACCTTTCCCAACCTCGTAATAATCGTTCTGAATAGCTATTGAGAACAAGAAAACGTTCAGTTGAAGCTCGTAAATAATACTCGAAAACGAAGAGCTCTAAACGAAGTTTAGAAAAAGGACACTTGTCATCTCTACTAACAATTGATTAATCAACGGAAAGCAATTCTTAAGACCGCAGAATTAAAATGTGCAAGACGAGAAGCAAGCAGACAGACAACCTTTTTGCTATCATTAATTGTCTTCACGTCTCTCCACACGGGGAAGAGATGTTTGGAAGCTGTACAACTTTCTGACTCTCGCAAGCGGGCGCACTCCCGAACAACGAATAATGGCCCCTCATTCGAACGACGACTTCTTCTTTGATGCAGTGACTGTATCTATACCAACAGTATCTAATGTTTCTGATTCTTGGCGTTGCTGTGAAATAACGAACACGCACTGTTTTGCTTCAAACAAAAATCACTTAATTAAACCAACAATTGTTTAGCTTGTTGTCGCTGCTGTCTTTTTTGTTTTGAACAAACCACTCTTTCACTTAAAAATGGAAAGTCTGTTTCATATCGGCAGTCATTCGCCACGCAACGCTCTGAGATAAAAACGTTTACGACGAAGAGAGGAGGAATACTGGACGCCTACATCTTTAAAAAAAGACAAAAAACCCCGAAAACTACACTTGTTTGGCGGTGCTATACTATTTCAACTATAATATCAAAAACTCTCAAAGCTTCGCAATCCAGAACTGTGCAAATACTGATATCGAATCACTAGGGTATCGTCCACAAGAAATTCATCTTTCCGAGGAGTTCAGATCAAAGGATTGGGAACAATAAGTTCGTCGTTCGAGGATGTGCCCATCGCAAGCTCAACGGCCAACTCGGGCCCTCTCTACAGTTAAATCAATATTGCTCTGAGTCGGGGGACAACATTGGGTGGTCCTGATGTCTTCAATCATTTAGTTCAGAACCCGTGAAGATAACGGACAAGTGAGATGGCTATCAAGTCATTGGATGGGAGATATTTTTCGCTGTTGCTGCCAAACAAAAATAAGACACGAATAAAACACATCCCACAGCGAGCAAATAATATCCAAAAACACATGCCACTTTCAATTAATAAAAATCAATCT